CCGGGTGGGGCCGACTTTATGATACCCTACACCACTTTGCGAAATTAGTAGAGCTCCGCATAACAATTAAAAGCTTTTATGGGAGAATTCAATCATAGACGCTATGATTATAATTATAATTTAAAGTTCAAAGGACTAAATATGCCGAAGTATTTGTATCTTTTAAATTCAGAATTGTATTGCCCATTTTGTGCACAATTAATTTTAAATCGGAGCTATATCTAAATCTGAACCGATCTCGATAAAATTTGGCAAAGATATTTCTGAGCTGTATTTGATGTATTTGTCTGCGGGTTGTGGATAACAAATATAACAAATCGGATGAACATATATGGGAGCTATAGCTATATCTAAACCGATTTCGATCAAATTTGGCATACTTATTTTCAGGCCTAATTTGGGTGTATATGCAAAATTCCATACAATTCGGGCTGATATTACACGTTTGGTGCACAATAATAGGCAAATCGGACGAAGATATATATGGGAGCTATTTCTAAATTTTGACCAATTATCTCCAATTTCAATAGGGTTCGTCCTTGGGCCAAACAAATGATCTGTGCAAAATTTCATCTGGATCGGGTAATAAATGCGACCTGTACTTTGTTTACAAAAATACATGGACAGACGGACGGACGGACATGCATAAATCGACTCAGAATGTGATTATAAGCAGATCATCAAAAGGAACTATGGGTCTATCTCGTTTCCTTTTGCCTGTTACAAACAAATGCACAAACACATAATACTCTGACCACCTTGTGGTGTAGGGAGTAAAAATTAGCTCGGGGTAAAGCCATTGAAATTCCAAAAAGTGGAAGAACTTACACCGCAACAGAAAGAAGATAGACTCAATAGAGCTAAAGAGTTGCTTCGCTTGGCCGAAAGTGGAGAACCGCCGAATTTGGTTTTCTTCGATGAGAAAACATTAGTTGGCCAGCAGTTTGTAAACAAACAAAATGATCCGCTCGAGTTTACTTGCCAAAGAGGTCAGCATAAAATGTGCACCTTCGGTTGCCCACCAGAACTCAGGACTCAAGACGGCCATGGTGATGGTGTGGGTCGCCATAACAGTCGATGGTCGCTCTCCGCTCGTATTAATCAACCGTGACATCAGAATAAATGCCGAATATTATTGCGAACATATTCTGGATGGTGTATTAAAGCCTTGGGCACGCAAACATTTTGGCCGCAGACCTTGGACATTCCAACAGGACTCAGCACCATCGCACTCAGCACGCGACACCCAAGAATAGTTACAAAATGAGGTTCCTCGCTTCATTTCCAGCGCTCGATGGCCAGCAAAATCTCCGGATACCAATTCGTTGGACTATTGTGTCTGTAGTATTTTGGAAAGCAAGGTTGGCACTAAAAAATACCAAAGTGTCGATCACCTCAAGCAAGCGCTTCACCGGGAATGGGCCAAAATACCGCAGAGCAACATTCGGGCAGCGTGTGACGGTTTCATTGGCCGTTTGAAGGCCATAATTCGTGCCAAAAGTGACCAATTCGAAACTTAACTAAAATTTTATGCTATTTCCGACATTTTTTTCTTTCATTCAATAAAATTTAAAAAAAAATGTAAAAATTATGGCGTTTGACTTTGTTACAGTTTTTTTATCTCACCCTGGTGTTGTTCAAAAAGTTCTAAATGGTACTAATTTTGGATCACTGTTGGTGTCTAGGATGGAGATATGTAGATGGTTTGGATATGCGTACTAAGTGTTACTTAATTTGGTGCTGGTGTATTTGGTGAAGGAATGGAGCTGAAATGTTGAAATTTGATACTGAGGTTACTGTTGGTCTCTAGGGTTTGCATATGGAGACGTTGAAATAGTTTTGGACAGAAAAATTGCATACTGAAAAGAACTAACACGGACTGTTGGAATCACCCTTATCGCGTAGAAATTGTGAATATTTGTTCGCATGTTAATTGTGAACCCCTATTCCCAAAATTAATATATTTATAATTTCTTTTTGTGAACTTTTGTGAAAAAAAAGTACATGATTGCATTTTTGGGAATTGTGAATTATTTTTTTGGGAAAATTTGTTACGCGATAAGGGTGAATGAATCTAAAATTTTAAAGTGGATTTTTGGCTGACGAAGTAGCCGGTACTTGCTACTGTGTACTATATATCGAGGGCTTCTAGAATTCTTTGAGGGTGAAACAAAAGACTTATAACTCTTTCTTGGTATAAAGACATATTAGGGTCCTTATTTCGATAGAATACCCATAGATGCCTTTTAAATATAGATAACAAATAATTCTTCTATTTATAAAATACACTGAGCTAGATTTATATAATCACTTACAATAATATTTATTTATTTATTATTTATTTATTATTTATTTATTTATTGTTTATTTATTTATTTTTATTTAATTAATATTTATTTATTTTATAAATCTATTTTATTAATTAATTTATTTATTTTATTAATTTATTTATTTATTATAATTTTATTTTATTTTAATTTTTTATTTATTTATTTATTGATTTATTTATTATTATTTTTTTTTTTTTTTTGATTCGTCATGAGTACCCTCAAAAATTTCATTACAACTGGAAATGGTGTTCGCATAAATTTGAAAACCAAAAAAACTCACTATTCCATTATTTTCCCTTTAAAAGTTGGGTATGATAGCTGGACACACCTCCCCTGTTGAGAGAGTGGTTTACAATTAAGATGGCAATAACAACAAATGTAGCAATTTGTTGGCCCCAATCAAATACAGCACTACCAGCACCAACAACAGAAACAAAGCATGCACACACATACATTCATACCTCACCGAAACAAACGACCATTCGTCCCAAAGCAAAATCGATGTCAAAGGACACGAGAAGTCTATTTAAGAGTATTTTATTAAGTGTCTTCATTCATGGTTGTGGCCGAGTGTGCCTTTCGAGGAGTTCATGCTGTTGGCCTATTAATGCTAATCTTTAATTTCGAAACAATTGTGTATGGGTGAGTGTGTCCGTGTGTGTGTGTGTGTGCCATTAACATAATAACAACAGCAGCAACAACAAATAAATGGCTACAATGAAAATCTCTTTTCATGGCCATAAATTCCATCAAAGGGAGACAAAACCGGGAATTTATGTCTCTTTTTCTTTTTTTTTTTTTTTTGCTATGGAAGATACTTTGTGCACTGCTTGTGTCTCTTGGGACCATTCAAGCGGCCAATGAACTTCCGAAAGCGCACACAAAAAAGTGTGGTGTTTTGGCTTCTATATTTCATTATCGTTAAAATTGTAATTCATTTCGGCTTTTTTTTCTTAATTCAAATGGATGAGGAGTACTGATGGAAACAGGCCATTACAAAACAATTTGTTCTGTTTAGGAATTGTATTGGAATTAGGACATACACATGTACCTGCTCGGTTTGATGGGAAGGTTGTGTGTGTTGGTGTGTCGTGCAGCAAATTTAAGTACAGGGTGATATGAAAAAATGCAACCAATTTCAGACTGCTGTCGTTTCTAAGCCACTCGTCCGACAGCTGTTAAAATTATTCCAGTTACAGCTCTTTATATTGTTTACAAGCGTACAAAAGCATTTTGGTGAGAATTTTCCAGAAAAAAAAATTTTTATTTATATTTGGCTGGAAAACCACAAGTGGCTATCGTTAGAGCCATCCAGCATTTAAATGTGAATAAATCTTTTGTGCCTCGTACCGTGATACTGGTAGCGTAGCCCGACGACAAGGAAGTGGATGAAAAAACAGCAACATCAGCAGAAATGGTTCGAAAAGTAAAGAAGCGACTTGATCGAAAGTCGCAGTGGAAAATGGCGAAAAATGGCTCGTGAGCTGAACATATCGCAATATTCCATTCAGCAAATATTGAAAGATGAGATCGGGGTAGTGCCATTGAAATTCCAAAAAGTGCAAGAGCTTACACCGCCTGGCCGAAAGTGGTGAACTGCCGAATTTGGTTTTTTCCGATGAGAAAACATTAGTTGTCCAGCAGTTTGTAAACAAAAAAAATGATCTTGTTTACTTGCCAAAGAGGTCAGCAGAAAATGTGCACGTTCGGTTGGCCACCAGAACTCAAGCGCCGGCCATGGTGATGGTGTGGGCCGCCATAACAACAGATGGTCGCTCACCGCTCGTATTAATCGACCATGGCATCAGAATAAATGCCAAATGTTATCGCGAAAATATTCTGGAGGGTGTATTAAAGCCTTGGACACGCAAACTTGTTGGCCGCAGACCTTGGACATTCCAACAGGACTCAGCACGTCCCACCCATCGCACTCAGCACGTCCCACCCAAGAATGGTTACAAAATGAGGTTCGTCGCTTCATTTCCAGCGCACAATGGCCACCAAAATCTCCAAATACCAATCCGTCGGACTATTGTGTCTGGAGTATTTTGGAAAGCAAGGTTGGCACTAAAAAATACCAAAGTGTCGATCACCTCAAGCAAGCGCTTCGCCGGGAATGGGCCAAAATACCGCAGAGCAACATTCGGTGTGACGGTTTCATTGGCCGTTTGAAGGCCATAATTATTGCCAAAGGTGACCAATTCGAGCAAATCTAAACTTATTCTAAAATTTGATGCTATTTCTTACATTTTTGCTTTCATTCAATAACATTTAAAAAAATGTTAAAATTATGGCGTTTGACTTTGTTGCAGTTTTTTTATCTCACCCTGTATTGTCTTACCTGACGGATTTTATGGATCTGTCTCCTACAACCATAGATCTTCTCTCAGTCCTAAGTCAGCTGGTTCTACGATACAGGAAACATCATATCAATTTCGGGCAGTGGCCGATGCTTTTACAATAGCATCAATAGATCTTTTCTCTCGTCCCGAGTATTTCGGTTTTGAAAATTTAAAGAACGAAGAAATTGCATCTGTTTATCTCCATCAGCTGTTCTATGTTTCTCCAACTCTGGTACGGGGTCTTCCCAAACATTGCTTGCCTCAGAAAAAATATCGTTTTTCTTTCGAAAATCTCTAAGAAATTTCCTTTATTATAAAGAATTATATTATTTTGTTTAGGTTTTTTTGTGATTGAATTACTTTGAGTACTATAAATATTCTAATAATAATAAATATGCTTTCGTATATATATAAGTAAGTTATAGCTATATATTATAGTACCTTTCTTTTAGAAATAGTATGTATGTATATATAAATAAAATGTATTTACCTATTTAAATGGCTATATCGTGGAGGCTTAGTAATCTCTTTACTTAAAACATAAGACAGGCTATACACTCTTTATAAAACAGAAACAAAAAAAATGAAATTAAAACCTTTCAAATAAAAGACAAAAAGAACAAACAAAAAAAACATTAAAAAGGAAATATTGCTTGGAATTATCAAAAGGATATTTGTTTTAGATGCCCTACACTCTACTTATACTCAGCTATTTAAGACTAAATCAAATGTGCAATGATAGCGTGGACTGGCAATTCGATTCCACTACAATTTCTTGTGAATTGACTTTAAATGTTGTTGCAATTGTTCACAGCGTTGACATTCGATGGTTAGTTGTTTAACCGCGGCCGCATATTGACGTTGTAGCTCCAGCAGTCCTTGTAATTCCTCATTTAGTGCATCTCGCCGCTTCTTCTCTTCCATGAATTTTAGTTTGACCTTTTGTTCGGTCTGTTTAACACCTTGAACAATTTGTTCGAATTGTTGTATGAACTCCTCGCGCCCATGCTGTGTTGACATGCCCTCATTGTAGGCCTCACAAATGGAATTCAGCAGTGAAAGTTCTTTCTCCATATAACGTTTCTGGTCATTTAGCGTGTTGAAGAGGGTGTAATATTGTTTTGTCTCCAAGTGTTTGGCACTCACTGGAAAGAAGGAGAGAACGATGTGATGAAAAAAATTTTAAGAAATGTAAGGCCATCAAATAAAAATCCCTTTCAGTAGCACGTTTGCAAATAAAAAACACAATTCCACAGAATTTTTCCAATTTTGGACTTTAATTCAAAAAAAAAAATGAAAAATATAAAATTAAAATATAAAACTAATTTGGAATGGTGTTTTTCTTTCGTATTCACTTTGGTATCTTCATACAGACACAAGCCCTTATATTGTAAAAGATATTGATAAGCGAATATTTTCTTGAAAATAAAAAAAAAAAAAACAATTTAGAAAATATCAGTCGGTTTTGCCGACAAATGTATACCCTCAGCCAGTGTTGGTTGACCCTCTATGGAGTAGGTTCCGAAGGAATGGGCCAATATTGTCCATTTGGTATCGGACCTAAATACATATATAAATATTGCGACATGTGCTATATCGACGACTTCCTCCACTTTATATGACATATGTGATAATTTTAAGAAAATGTTAAAATGGGCGTGCATTCGACCGAAGTATTCCTTTTTTATACTTCATCTAATACAGATAAAATTATTGACATGGGCAAAATTACAAGGAAAGCGAATATTTATATCCAATTTCATGCGAAATCATAAATTCCATATTCATCTCAGGTTTCGGCTTGAGTGAAATATTTATATGTAACAAGTTGTAAAGAATCGCTTTTTTTCGCAAGTTTTGACAGACAAAGGTATTGATAATTGTGACCCTTTGTGGGGAGTGGATCGATTATTTCATCTTCACACCAGACCTTGGGTTAATAACAATATATGTGTAATTGTGTGTAATTTGAAGACAATAGCACTCCTACATCACATTTTATAAGAGTTATAGTTATTAAAAATGTTGACCCCTTGTGAAAAATGGTCCGATCTCTTTAATTTTTATGTAACAGTTGGTGTATTGATGGAAATATTCAGATGTGCCAAGTCTAAATTGAATCGCATATTATTTTCGCGTTTTATGAGCTCAATGGATATTCAAAATTTCGACCTTTTGTGGGGGAGGTACCAGAAGGAGTGGATCGATATATTCCATCTTAACACCAGATCTTAGATTTGTAAAAATATTGATATGTGTGTAATTTGAAGAGAACCGGAGGCTTATTTCGGATTTTATGATCGTTTTGGATATTCAAAACTCTGACCCTCTGTGGGGGAGGTACCTGAAGGAATGGTCCGATCCCTATCATTTTTATAACAGATCGTGTATTGATGGAAATATGGAATCGTATATTAATTTCGGGTTTAATGAGCTTAGTGGATACTCAAAATTTTGAAATTTTGGGGGAAGTACCAGAAGGAGTGGATCGATATATCCCTATTTCGCACCAGGACTTGGGTTAATAAAATTATTGAAATGTGTGTAATTTGAAGAGAACCGAATGCTTATTTCGGATTTTCTGATCGATTAGGTTATTCAAAACTTTTACCCTTTGTGGGGGAGGTGCCAGAAGAAATAGTCCGATTTCCACCATCTTTATAACATATCTTGTGTTGATGGAGATATAATGGGATGTGTAAAATATGAAGAGAATCAGATGTTCACTACAGATTTAATAATCGTTTTGGTTATTCAAAACTTTGACCCTTTGTGGGGGGAGGTACCAGAAGAAAAGGTCCGATCTCTACCATCTTTATAAAAGATCTTGTGTTGATGAAAATATTGAGATTTGGCAGGTCTGAATGGAATCGGTTGTCAATTTCGCGTTTTATGAGCTTCATGAATATTCAAAATATTGGCCCTTTGTGGGATGATGGAAATATTGAGATGTGCCTAGTCTGAATGAAATTGGATGTTAATTTCGTGTTTTATGAGCTTCATGAATATTCAGAATTTTGACCCTCTGTGGGGGTCCATTGTGTACGGTCACAATGGACCGACAGGTCTCCGAGTGAGATACACATAATCTAACCTAACCTAACTTAACCTAATCTATCCATATGTTTCGATTCAACTCACTTTCATTGTACAGCTCATGGAATCGCCGCTGATATTGTGCTAACTCTGTGCGATCTGGTGTATTATCCAATTGTTGTTGTATTGCCAATATGCCCCGGTTACGTTTGGCCAATTGTAATTTTAACAATTGTATACGTTCCTTTTCTTTGGCCACAGCTTGTTCTCTCTCCTGGGGATCTTGAGCATTGAAGGCTTCCAATTCCCTTTTAATAATAAATCCGGTATTAAAATTATATTCAAACAATTGGTTTGATATAAATTATCATATACATACTCTATTTGTTCTTGTAGAGCCGCCAGATCTTTACGACAATGTTCCTTGAATTCTGATTCTTCCTTTTTCAATTCGTCATGTTGTCTGAGAAGACCTTGTACCTTTTCCAATAACCTGAAAAATATATGCAAAAAAATAGTAGAAAAATGTAAATTCAGCCATTTTTTCTGCAGAGAAATTTTTTTTTTTTTTTAGCAAATGTTTCCTATTGAAAACAATTCGGCATGTTTTTTTTTAGAAAAAATTACTTTTTACATTGAAAAAGTAATTCAGAGGAAAGACAATTCAAAAAAAAAAAAACACTGTGGAAAATCAAAAATCAACGAAGATTTTCTACAAAGATATAATTTTTAGAGAAGATTTTTTATGGAAATACCAATTTAGAGAGCTGTTAGAAAACATAATCTTAACCTATTTCGTGGCATTTTCAAATTCAAAGAAGGTTTACCCCGCATCAACAGTTCCTTCAATTCTCTTGTATTCTTCAATTTCTCTTTCCATTTGCTCTTTTTGTGCTCTCTCCTTTTCCAGCAATTCACATTCCTGTTGCAACAATTCCATAACATCCTTGACATCCTTTTGGTTACGCTCCAATTTCTGTTCCAAGGCCAATTTTGTAGCTTCCAAAGATTTAATTTGATTTTGTTCGGTTAATTGTTTTGTATCCGTTTCCATTTCATGTTTGAATTCTTTATAATGTTTTCGCAATGCATAACGTGTGGCATTATCCAGCTTTTGGGGTGATCCTGTGGCGCTGTCCTGTTGAGTTGGTACAGAAAAAATTGTTAAAACAACAACATTTAATGTGGGTTAATAATAACACAAAATTGAAAAACAAATAAAGGAAGGACAATTTACCTCTTTGGTGAGTACTAAATTGTTAAGTAACTTTTCAATATCAAGCTGCAAGCAAAACAAAATATTAGTGGTGACAAAAAACAAATAAAAAATATAAAGCATTATGTACAAGAAACTGAATGGAAACACTTGTTTAAAAAGAAATCAAAATGTGGGCATAAGCTTTACAACATCATGGAAAAGTATTAAACACTCAACGGTGTTTGTGGGCAATATGTAATTCATAACAAAGAACAGCTCCTCATACCTCTGATGCTGTGACATTTTCTGCTTGGCCCTCATCATCTAGACTATCTGCTCTAGGCACTGACGGCAGATTACCATATTCCAAAAGTGTCAATTGTACTTTTGTTCTTTCATCCTCATCTGTAGCCTCTTTGCGTTGATATTGTCGGACGGGATTGTACATTTCCTATAATATAAATGTAATTAAATCTCTCCTTAACTATTATCAGTAATCAAACCCAACCTGTATTCTTTTGATATGCACTGAGGCTTTTCTAATTTTTTCCAAATTTTGTTTGTCGCTCTTATACTGATAGTTGTTATGGAATTGACCAATTGCAAATTGTTTCAAACGCATATTTCGTTCTGCACGATTTTCCACCTTAAAAATAAATTAAAGACTTAGAAAAATGCCAAATTGAATCATTGTTTTAATTAACTTACAGACTTCTTAACAAGCCACTGGATAACTGGATGTATGCAAAGAAACTCCAAACCCTGTATCTGATGGGGTTCTATACGAAAAGGACACTTCATTTGAGGCAACACAGCAACAATCTTCTCCACCAAGGAGCTGAAATACAAAAACATTAACACATCCATTTATAAAATTCTTCCACAGACTTACATTTTCTGGCCAATTGTTAAATTCTCGTGAAACAACAAATCCACATCGACATCATAATCACAGCATTCTATGCACCATGTCATTCCTCCCACTACTTTGTCGAATGCCGACAAACCCTTAATGCACGCCCTATAATAACCGGCATTTATTAACAAATCAAATGTCTCCTTCTCCTTGGCCGTTGCATCTGTGTCCTCTCTACGTTCCACCTGCAACCAATGGTTGGTTAATTTACCGAAATTACAAGAACTTCATCCAAAAACTCTTCCAAACATTACTCACCTGCACTTCACGCCCCTCGGCATCGTAGCGCGTCGCTAATTTGACATTTGATTTTATGTGTTTGGAAAATATTTCCTTATTGGCCATAATGTCCTATGGAATCCCTTAGTTTAGTGGAGTATTTTTATAAATAGATTTAAAAGATAAAACTGTAATTTTCGTGAAAAATTTACAAAATTTCAACTGCTACTAGTCCTCGCTCAGCTGTTTTTTGTTGTCATCTGTGTGTTTGTTGTTGCCGGGCATATGTGGACAAATGTCAAAATATTCCATGATAAACAAACTGTATTTGATAAGGTAGCCGTATTCACCCTTATTTTCTGCTGTACGAAAATGTAATATGAAAGCTTTGTTCATGGAAGAATTGACAAAAAATGCAGAGCTGGATATGCTTATTCGAAATACTCAACTCGGAATAAGTTAAGGGCTAAGTACATAAGAAGCTTGAAGTCATGGCTAGGCATATTTTGTGACATTTCACAAAGGGATTACAGAGCCGCACTAAAATCCAGCCTAGCCATGACTTCAAGCTTCTTGTGTACTTAGCCCTTTAGGTTTTGGGGCTATGCTTTGATCATTTTCAAATTTGTATTACGGCAAAGTAATATTTTTGTCACGGTAGAATATAGAAGGTAAAGTCATGCAATTATTTGATTACAATTTACAATTTTTTTCAAAATTATTCACTTGACAACATCCCATTATCAAAATTAATATTTACAAATACACTGTATACACACAAATCAGAGATGGGAACCAGTTTTCTATGTGGTGAGGTTTGACAATGTAAGTTACGGACATTGCAGAGATGGGCATGCTTATTTGAAATGACTTTACCTATGCCTATGCTACAAGTGGCCATTTGATGGGGTGGTTTGAACCGGTTGCAGTGTAATACCATGGCAGAATCAAGAAGGTAAAGTCATTTCAAAAAACATTCCAATCTTTGCATTTTCTGTAACTGAGCTTGTCAGATACAATATTTCATATGAACTGTCACAACAAAAACAAGAATTAGATATTTACATTTATAAACCATTCAAATATGCAATAAATTTTGTGAAATGAAATGTTTGTGGTAAATATTCAGTGTGGTTAAAGGTATTACATAGTCAGCCCAACATGTGTCCCACTGAAATTGGTTCCGTTCGCCAACTTTTAATGGTTTCAGTACTTGGGAGGTAAAATTGTAGTACATTTCTGATGAATTCATAATTATTCTTAGAGAGAAGGTGAGTGTACTGTTCAACGTCTAATTGATCAGGTGTGTAAGGCGGTGAGGATTCATTTGTAATGACACGTGCAAATCTACACTCTATGCTCTTTTTACTGGCTCTTTCCGAAGGGAAAATTCCGTTTTCAAGCAAAAAATCAATTTTATCTTGAGCGAGCTGAAGCTGTTCACGTAAAAATGCATTTTGTTCTTGAAAACGATGATTTTCTTTCTTTAGTTAGTCATTGCTATCTATTTCTAGCTTGTCTACGTTTTTTAAATCTTCTACATCTAAATCTATATCCAAATTACTATACGTATTATCGGTATTAATATAATTATATTGTTAATATAGTTAATCCCTTAAATATAAATTTATGGTTGTGTTAACACGTATTAGGATACGTTAGCGAAACGAATGTTATTCGTTTCTACAAGTGTATTCTTGTATTTTTGTATTTATTTACCTTTATGACCTTTATGGGTTTAACTTTAAATGCAAACATTGAGCCCCTTTCAAAAGCCTAGGGTTCCCAATGGTCCCTTTAGGGGTTTTAAGGTAAATACTATTAATATAAGGGAACAAGACGGTTAATTTGTATAGGGATCTGATCCGCATTTTCGCTTTATAATAATGTAATAATGGGTTTGAGGGGGACGTCATGTTTTGGGTACATATCCACATGTTCCCCACATATCCCACGTGCCCATATACCTAGACAAAAATTTACAACAAACTTACCCCCATTATTGTCCACATCCACGGAGGAGAAAGAGGAGGCAGTAAGAGACACGGCTTAGCATTCCACGCCAGCTGCCTAGGCCCCGATTTAATTGTAAACATCTCCGGTTCAAAATGTCGGCTACAGATAGTGGAAGACTTCTGGTTCACTATACCCTGATCTTCCAATAATTGTGTCGGAACAACTCTAGTTTAGTAAAAACTCTTCGATTTTTTCCAGAGGTAGGTATTTTTACCCTGATCCCGGGAAACTATTTTTTTTTGGGACGGACCCGGGACCCCTGATTTTTGTCCCGAAAGTCCGGGATCAAGACCCCGCCTGGACCCGGATCCACTTAGTCGATATAGACAATATGGGTATCGATTAAAAGCTTATGGAAATACCTATCCAACAAGTGAAGTTATGATTCGGAAGTTATAGTCAAATTATCGATTTTTTGGACCCGGATTTTTTATGAAACCTCCAAAAAGTCAAAAAACGGTCCATTATGGTGGGTCAACAAAATTGTTTCCAAATTATAGCTGACACTCTTACCTTTCGAAAATGCTACAATTTGTGCTAATACCTTTTTCGGGTCCAGAGATATGGGTCTTTCCATCCGCATAACCCGATTCTAACCAGTTCATTAAAATGATGTTTTCAATAAAAAAAAGGTATATTTCGCGTTGTCCCCCATAATGGACCCTTTTTTGACTTTTTGGGGGTTTTATAAAAAATCCGGGTCCAAAAAATCGACAATTTGACTATAACTTCCGAACCGTAACATCTTACCCCATCATGTGACCGCTTGTTGGATAGGTATTTTCATATCGGGTAATTGGATCCGGGTCTAGTCGGGATCTTGAACCCGGACTTTCGGGTCAAAAATCTGGGGTCCCAGGTCCGTCCCCCAAGAAAAAAATAGTTTCCCGCTGGAAAAAAATTCGAAAAAATTGAAGAATTTTTTCTAAACTAGAGTTAAGCCATTGTGTCTTCCATGCTTCCTTCAAACGATGGACACTGAACTCCTTCGGACAGTTCCGGACCAGAGAGTTTTCACAGCTTGGTACACAGCATTTCCTGCATTTGCTTGGGTTCGACATGTTGAAAGCCTAATAAACACACACAACACATTCCCTTATTTCACAAATTGGACAAATGGATGGAAACCGTTACACCAACAACTCAGACCACACTCACACTGTATTTTACATATTTTACGTGCAATCCGGGTTCCAGTTCCATACAAACACATTTATTTCACTACTTACCTGCGTTCACTAAGTTCACACAACAAGATATTGTAGATATTGTCCAATAATCCTCTTTAAAAACCTTTAAAACACTTAAAACGCGATTTCACAAGCAAGGCGTCCGTTGAAAAGCTTCCAGGTTCAAATTTTAAAGGGACCAACAGATCGAAAAAGAAGGCATTCAGGGCTTAGCAGCTCGAAAGTCAGACATGAGTTGGAGTTCACCAGATCGAAAATCGGAATCACTTGCAGGGTTTTAAAAATCGGCCCCATCTAAACATAAACAGCTGTTTAGAGATCCTTCAAAGAAATAAATAAGGTACCGTTTAGTGATAACTGCTTCTTCTTGCCTATTCACACAATTTCTGGAAAATTTACAAAAAATTTACAACTGCTACTAGTCGTCGCTCAGCTGTTTTTTGTTGTCATCTGTGTGTTTGTTGTTGCCGGGAATTCGAAATGGTATTACTTACTCAACTCGGAATAAGTTAGGTTTTGGGGCTATGCTTTGATCATTTTCAAATTTGTACAGCCCTGATTACGGCAAAGTAATATTTTCCTCATGGTGGAATATAGAAGGTAAAGTTGTGCAATTATTTGATTAAAATTTTTTACAAAATTATTCACTTGACATCTCATTATCAAAATTAATATTTACAAATACACTGTATACCCACAAATCTATGTGGTGAGATTTGACAATGTAAATTACGGACATTGCAGAGATGGGCATGCTTATTTGAAATGACTTTCGAAAGTCGAAAATGGTCCTATTATGGGGTATTAGAATAATGTAGTATATAGGCTACACTCTTGCCTTTCCAAAATGATGCCTTATGACCACTTGTTGGATAGGTATTTCCATAAGCCATGGTAGAAGAATACAGGTAGACGCATTGACACAGCTGCTCGGACAATGAACTGTCAAACCAATTATGGAATGGATAATGTTGAATGGAAATTTATTTATATTTGTAAAAATTGTTGAAAAACGCGTATTATAATGACCTCCGATTGACGTCGTATAAGAAAATATATAAAAATCTACTTATATTTGAAAAGACATTTAAAATATTTTAAGATATCAATGTTCCCAAACATTGATGCTTCTACCTGTATTCTTCTACCATGCCATAAGCTTTGTACATATCTTTTTTTAGAATCGGATAAGATCGAAATTTTCATTAATATGTCCAGTCCTCCAGACATAATACACATTTGAGTAAAATTTTAGCAACTTACTTCAATTCGTTCGTAAGCTAGAGTGATTTACACAGACGGACGGACATCGCTAAATGGACATAGAATTTTATGCTGATCAAGAATATATATACTTTGCGGGGTCTAAAATGTCTAAATGTGTATTTCGAGGTGTGGTCTAAAATGTATATTTCGAGGTGTGACAAACGGAATGACAAACTTAATATACCCTCCATACTATGGTGGATGGTATAAAAAACATAATTTACATATTATTTAAATATTAAATTGAAAATGAAGAATAAAAAGATTTTTCTCTCAGGAAGAGTTCTACATCTCACTTTCATACTTATTTTATCATCAAAAGCAAAAGAGAAAGAGCAATCTGTATAGTTGGCAGCAACCCTTAAATGTCAACAACTGTGACTGAACTTGGCAGCACTGTTCTGGCCGAGTATTTGACATTTGACTAAGGCCGGCTTCACGTGTGGTTGTTTGGTGCTCTTGGCTTGCAATTTATTTTTTTGCAATTCTATATCGAATAAATAAATAAATTGTTTATAAACAAAAAAAATAACAACGACAAAAAATGCCTTACATTTGTCTACTGCAAGAGGGTAATCCCAATCTGCCGCGTTTCATCGAAAAGGCCCAACAGAATAATTTCACGGTGGTCGCCACCCCACTCAATTGCATGGAATTGCCGCTCGAATTTGAAAATGAACCTCTCAATGAAAAGCATACCCAGAATACCACGGCAGATCTTTTACTTACGGCCGAACAGTGGAACACCCGGGTAATAAGCATTCTATCGGAGACCATTGATTGTGATTCGCCAAATGAGATTGTGCGAAAAAATTCCGAGGAAGTTCTGAAACGTGATATCTCGTGGGCAGAGCATTTGCAATATGGTGGCTACACCATGGTGAAGCTCAAAGGGCCCAACAATTTGAATTTGGCACGTGTTTTGACAAATAAAATTAAGGGTATGTATGGAGTGGTGTTCAGCGATGAGTTTGTTTACGTTAAAGTTTCTTTGTTTTTCCTAGGAATTCTACTGGTACAAATTCCTTTGTATAATTCAGCGGCAGCCCAAACAACATGGCGCAGAGACATCGGCGAAGATGAAACCTTAAAGATAATTGAAAATGGAGACTCTTGGCATTGGTGGAATCGTTTCCGTTGGGCTGCCGATTTTAATAATAAGTTGAGATTGGTACTGGAACTAAATGAGGGAGAGCAACCTTCATTGGATGTCATATTGCGTTGGCTGGGCGAACCTTTGGAAGCCGTTATTATACCTTCCTCAATGTTTATTAGAAATCGTCACAATTTCCCCGTCCTACCCAAGACATGGCAGGAGGTGTTGAAAATGTTTGTCAAGGCTCATGTTAATATGATTGTATCCACCGATTGTTCGGACAATAGTTTGAAATTGTATTCGGATTATCTGAACAATTTCAGGGAAATGCATAAGGATAGTCATATTTTGCAAAGGTGAGATTGGACTTATTGAAATTGAAAGTATTTCTTTTAATATTATTTGTGCTCTTTTTTTTAGTTTTGAAGATGTTTTGGAAATACCCTTACAGCCATTGTATGATAATTTAGATTGTTATACATATGAGATATTTGAAAAAGATCCAGTTAAATATAAGCTATATCAAAATGCCATTGAAGCGGCCCTGAAATATCGGGTTAAGGATGATGAAATCGAAGACAAATTGGTAAGAATAAGGAATAGTTTTTAGGGACCATACTTACACTACAAATTATCACAAAAAGATGTTCTTTAATACAAATTTAGGCTTAATTTGAGTTTAGGGACTATGCTCGGATTGATCTGAAATTTTTAACCTGGGGTTTTCAAAAAGTTCCAGTGCAAAAATACCAGTTTTCCAATTTGACCACTTGTTGGATAGATATTTCCACAAGCTTTCAAATGATACCCACTTTGTAGATATTGGTTTTGTAGAGATGTTGTATCCCAACTTTCGGGTCAATTTTCCGGGTATCTGGGTATTTCCCCACGAAAAATTACTTTCCCTTAAGCAGGTTTAAAATAACTAGCTGCGGTGATAATTTCAAAATGATATGATCATAGCCCCTAACCTCGACTTGCTCCTAAATATAACTCACCATTTACCTTTTGTTTGGAATTTACTCACAAGTTAATATTTTTTTTTTTTTGTTTTCAGTCCATAATCATGGTTCTTGGTGCTGGACGTGGCCCATTGGCTAGAGCAGCCCTGAATGCTGGCGAGAGAACTGGACGTAAAGTACGTGTTTACATCATTGAGAAAAATCCAAATGCTATTAGAACGCTTACAGCCATAGCCAAAAAATTGTGGCACAACAAAGGTATTTTTCTTTGAAATGCATAAAATCTTTTCTCGACTTTTAATATATATCCTTGTTCCAGATGTCCATATCTTCTCGAAAGATATGCGTGAATTCTCGCCACCTGAACCAGCTGATATTTTGGTATCCGAATTGTTGGGCTCCTTTGGTGACAATGAACTCTCACCAGAATGTTTAGATTGTGCCCAAAAGCTACTGAAACCGGATGGCATTAGTATTCCCTATAAATCGGTTTCATTCATAAACCCTGTTATGTCTTCCAAATTGTATAATGCCGTACGTAATGTTGGGCGCATGGAACCGTTTAGTCGAGAAAAAGTATCATCTTATTACAACCATGCTGAAAATGGTTTTGTGGTATTGCTGAAAAATGTCTACAATATTGATTATCCAAAAGCATTATTTGAATTTGTCCATCCAAATCCGGATAAGCGCAAAGATAATACACGTTATAAAGTATTGCAATTTGAAGTACAATTGGATTGTGTTCTAACCGGCATTGCAGGCTATTTTGAATGTTGGCTATACGGTGATATTTTGATGAGTATTAATCCGCCCACACATACACCTGGCATGCCATCATGGTTTCCCATGTATTTCCCCTTTACGGTAGGTGTTTTGAATGATAAAAAAAAAAATGGAAGAAAAATGTTTCAATTAATATTTTCTTTGATTTACAGGAACCCATGAATGTCAAAAGAGGCGACACCATAGAAATTCACTTTTGGCGTTGTGTTTCAAAGCAAAAAATCTGGTATGAATGGTGTTTGGCATCACCCCATACCACACATGTTCACAATTTAGGTGGCCGTTCCTGTCCCATCTATTGCACATAAATTTGAATGTATACATTTAGTATTAACTCGTTCATTGTATCAATATAGGATTTTGTAGGTCCCCTATTCACTCGTATCAAAATTTGCATTGAGAAAGGTTCGTTTTTGTTAGGGAATACTACAAGAAACTTAATTTTCTTTATGGCAATTTTGAACGTCTGCATAGGGTTTAATTATAGTTAAAGCTTTATAGTTTTTAGAAGGGTAAATATTTCGTATGACATTATTAATTTTTTTTTTATATTTCCGCTGAGTTTATGACGAATTTTCCCTCATTTTTATTATAGCTTAAACAATTTATTGACCCACAAATTATGTATAATTCAGTTAAACTGTAAGCAATTGTTTTTTTTTTTTTTTTGTTATGTTAAAACCTCGTAGAGTTTAAGGTTGTAAACTTTTTATTCATAATGGAATTTAATTGGCCTGTATGTGTATATTAGTTGTTTTATAACTAACTTACCAAGGCTTGTTTAATATATATATTCTATGACCATAAATTTCAATTCACAAATTTAAGTTTAGCTTTAAGTTGAAATTTATTTACTTGCATCTCTCAAGTAATGACAATAAATATTATAAAAAACGAAAGAAGAAAAACCATGAAAAAAGTGGAACAATTACCAAAGATATAAAACTACAAAAATTGGATATGCCGTTTAATGTTTCGGTCAGGCAATAGATGGCGACGAACTGACAAAAAATACATCGAAATCGGAATCCCGTAGAGAAAAATCTCAGAAATGATAGATGTGACTCAAAAATCTATTCCAGAGTATTCTGATAAGAATCAGCGAAATCCCTTTATAAAATCAAGCTTGTTAAGGTTACAACATAATTGGTCTTTTCCAGAACTGCAAATGTTATGTACAAGTACAAATTTTAACTACAATAATCGATTTCGACTTAATGATATCTTTTGTTTTTTATAGTCCCAATTCACACGGTAGGGAAATAAAAGGAAATTTTCAGAAGACAGGGCCAAAAATAAATGATTACCTCATCCAATACCCTTCTTCTTCATAAAACTTAGGTAACTCCTTTCCGTTTTCTTTAAATATTCGGACCATGATACAAGAATACGAATCATTTTTTGAATGAAAAGTTATTTAATTTTTTTGAAATATGCATATTGTAAAAAGCTCTGCAGTCGTATACGAAAATGTTAAAAAAATCAATTAATTTTTTTTTCAGATTTTCATATTCAGCTGTTTTCTAACACGTTACGGACGTATCAAAGTGCGCAAAATTTTCACAAAAAATAAAGAATGGGCTTTACAAGATTTTGACCTCTATAGCCATGATAGGGTTGAATGACACTTCATATTTAAAGCAGCAGCAATTCGCCATTCAAAGCCACATACAAATGAGAGTGCAATTGAAAGATTCTTATCAAACAACGAATGGTATGGTTTAGCTAATTAATTTCGTATATGTGGTCGCCATGCAGACTATCTGCCCTCCATTGAATTCTGAGCCACTCGAGACGCTGCACCTCTTTAACTTATCCGAATTTACTACTATATTTTTTGTTGTTGTTTTTTTTTCTTCCGGACACTCCACTTGAAATCTTATTTCAATGTGAACAACAGCAGAACGCAAAATTGCAGAATTCGTTAACTTCGAAGAGAATAATTTCATCATTCATAAACAAACAATAATTTGATTACTTAAATCTGCAGTATTCCCAATTGGAAATTTGGAAGTATAGAGAGTGCATAAGCAGCTTGAAGTCTTCGCAGGGCATATTTTTGTGACATATCATAAAGGAGTCCCAGAGCTGCACTTGAATTCTGCCGTCGTTTTTCCTTATAATTTAACATTTATATGCCTAGCTATGATTCCAAGCTGCTTATGTACTCACACCTTTATTTAGATAAAAGAACCTCTGAAAGACTTTTAGATTCTTAAAAAGATTTTTCATTTTGAGATTATTTTCAACTCTTCGATGACAAAAGCACCTAAAATCTTGTTGAGAGATAGATAACATATTGCTGTTACTGTTTTGAACATTACTTTATTTTGGGTGCAAGATTTCAACTTGATCCGTCATCTACATTTGGTTACAACATTTCAGCTTGATCCCAAATCTTTTATCTCAGCATTATTATACCCTACAACAATATGTGTTATACGGTATTATACGTTTGGTTGGGCAAAAATTATGTGACACCTCGAAATATTGGTTGCCCACATAGAGCTAGGTATGTATGTCCGTCCGTCTGTCGATGTTAATTTTCAATCACTCTACAGATCGCAATTATAGCCCGATCCTCACGAAATTTATCATGGAGGTGGGAGTAGGGCCTATTGCGTTTGGAAATAATCACATAATATTGAGGGGTTAAAATGGACCAAAAATTTCCTGATTGTGCAGTTGCACTACAGGTCGGTTGATATTTAGTGGGTGAAATTTGTGTTAAATAAATTTTCCATTTAATTTTAATCCCGACGAAATCACAAATAGACGAAAAAGTCAATTCTGAAGTGAACATTTTGTAATATTTTTCCACCTTACAACACAGGTTGGGGTTATTCGATCCGATCTTCATGGAAATTTTCATAAGGGTAGGGTTAGTCTCAGACGAGCTAGGGCTATCCGCAATATCTCTAGGGATATCCGCAATATCTCTAGGGATTGAAATGGTCCAACAACTAAAAATGTTCCTGATTTTGCTGCCGTTATAAAGGTCACAAATAGAAACCAAAGGACACAAAATCTCGCATAAAGTTAGAGTTTAGGACAGTGGGTCGGATGTACAACATGTGTGAAAAATACCAACATTTCCATTCTACCGCAACGCTGAAAATAACTTACAGGCGAAATCCAAAATACACATAAGGTGGACTTCTGGCTTTTTATGCTGATTTCGTTGACGAATATAACCAAATATCGTAGACAAGCAAAGCAGAGGGGCCTCTCGTTTTTGGTGATGATCGCGAAATATTTAGGGGCTCAAATGCACCAAAAACGGAAAAATGTTCCTGATCACACAATTGAAACCATTCAACACGGAATTTTGCATGAGAAGAGAGTTAAGGACAGGGAAGAAGTCTAGCATTCTAGATGACCATTGGATTATATTTAGATATAAAATGGACCACAACAAATAACAGCACGACGAAGTGCGTAAATATTGGGCAAATGTCCCTGGTCCAAATGCTAAGGTATTACGGGCAGTGCTCCATGACATAATTTCAAAAGCGAAATCGTCCAAAATGGATTTGGTCATAAGGGGGTTTCTAACATATTGCAGTGTTGTAGGGTATCACATGGTCGACCCGCACGACTATAGCCTTTGCTTACTTGTTATTTTTCCCCCGAAGTGTAGAACTTAAGCCCAATCGAAATAAAACAACATTCCGTGTTTTTTTTTTTTTTTTGTAGTTTTTTAAAATTATTTGTTTTTTTTTCTATTACTTCTTTTTTTATTATATAGACCTTTTTGTGTTTTCTTATGTCTTTATTTACTCAATTTACTTGTGTTTTTGTTTTACTTATAAATAATTAAAGAATTGTAATTATTTCTGTTTATTTTGTTTGCATATCTTTCTTTTGCTTTCATTCATTTGTAAGTAGTAATGGTGTAAAATTAAGCATTATTTTTTTAGAATTTCATATGGATGCTGTTGTGTACTTTTGTTTTTTAGTTCTATTATTGTGGAATTAATGATTTAGCTTTTTTTATTGAAGAATTTATTTGCTGGATTCCTATATATATAGTATATTTATTTTTTGCTTGAAATTTTTATTTTGCACATATTTAACCCATTAGTGGGCAGTGTCCCTTATAAGGGACTCTCACATTTTGCACTGTAGCACTTTCCAATACTCGCTTTTTTTGTAAACAAGTAGGCTATGCCGTTACTGACACTACAACGAATTATGTTCTATCCCATTAATTTAATTTCTTGCGAGTTGTGTGTTGTATTTTGTGCAAAATATGGAAAACCAATTTGTGAAAAAACAAAAATCTCGAGCTGGGCGAATAAAATTTCAATAAAGTTATGATTCTGTGAATATTTATGATTGTGTTTGTATTGTTATTTGTAAGTTAGTGTAATATACTAGTTTATGCCCAAAAAATAAAATAAATTGTTGTGACACGTGCATAAAGTGACTATGAATGCAACGTCCCCTAAGAGGGACACTGCGCCCGTAGTACAATTGTAATCCACTGATTGAGTAATGAATCTTATATGTGCAGACTTACAGTTTCTGAAATACTGACTGAATTGGATGTTATTGGCGATAATGAGTTGCACGACATTGAAATTTACGCGATCCCACCAATAGATGGTGCAGATACTGATGAAGATACTGATGGTGGTGGCCCATATTTGCATATTTGCTTGATGGTCAGTAGTGAATGCATGGTTGTTAATGAAGAAGTTACATCCCAATGATGCGGCATGTTCAACTCTTCTAAATTGCAACATCATATCTGGAATCGTATGGTACCCCAGCATCAAGAGGTTTGCGCAATAGCAATGTCACTGCAGATACAAGATATGATGGCAGAAACCACATTATTGAATATTCAAAAACAGATAAACGCTGTGGATTATGCGGCAAAAAGTCTAACTTTACTTGTAAGAAGTGTGACAAAGGTCTCCACCCTAAAAATTGCTTTAAGGAATATCATAAGCCAAGTGTACCCAATGCGCAGCGTCCCTTATAAGGGACGGTCCATAACTCCAAAACCATAAGCTTTTTTGAATAAATTATTTTTAAAACAAATTAACTAGACCATTTTTATTTGTAATTGGTGTAAATCGCTTAAAGATAGTGCTCAGGGAACTTCGTCCACTAATGGGTTAAATAAATAATTTTGTATAGTATTATATATATTTTTAATTGTAATTATTAAATATTCACAAATAAAGCGAACGCTGCTGGTGAGTTTAGATTGATGATTTGTTTTTAATTTTTTTTTCCATTTTTTTGTATTTCGAATTATTTATTTCATTGTTCATTTTGAATACCGTGTTTTTGTTTTTTTTTTCTTTTTTCATAATCAAATCAATTTTTTATAAAAATATAATTACAACACATTTATATATTTTTGTTTATAAAAAAAGAATGCACATGAAAAGCAAACTAGTTTTAAAGCGTATGAAATCTAATTTATTTTTTTTATTGTATTTTTTCTCTCTTTTATTTGTTTTTATTTAAAAACCTTCTACTATTTTTTCTCAAATATGATACATATTTCCGGTTCCATTTGCTGCATATTTGTAAGTTTTATTTTATATTTCTGTTTTACAAATTGTTATTTAAATAAATGAATAAAATTCATCTACAATTAGTTAATTTTTTTCACAATGAAAAGTTAATTACTTTTTTTTTAATTTTTTGTAGAAAATCTGAAAATGTTCGTGTTTGAATATTCTGTATTGGGAGGGAGTTTGAGGTTTTGATTCCATTCTAAGAGCAGTTTTTATGGTAGGTTGTTGCGAATGGAAACAAAGCAAAAAAAGCAGTTAAGTTCGGACGGGATGAACTTTTTATACCCGCCACCTTTTGGAAGAAACTTAAAAAATTTCAACAAAAAAATTCCGTCGAAAAATATCGCCCAAATGAAAACGGTTATATGGGGGCCGTACGAAGACGTGGTCCTGCATAAGTAATTTTTGTCATAGGCTGTAGTAACGGTTCCCAACTTCTAATACGAAATTTTAAACAATTCCGGTGAATAATGTCGCCAAAATCATGAAAATACCGAATATCTGGGGGTACCGTTATATGGGCGCTATACTAAAACGTGGACCCATGTAGACAATTCTCTTCAGAAGAACTCCTTTTGAAGAATTTCAGACAATTCCATTAAAAAAGTGGCTAAAATCATCAAAATACCGAATATCGAGAGGAACCGTTATATTGGGGATATATGATATCGTGGGCCTACATAAACCATTCTCTTCCAAGGGGTAATGCACTCACAAAGAACTCCTTTTGTGGATTTTAAGATAAGTCCATTGAAAAATTTGGCTGAAATCATCAAAATAGCGAATATCGGGAGGAACCGTTATATTGGGGATATATGTTATTGTGGACCTATATAGACAATTCTCTTTCAGGGGGTAATGCACTCACAAAAAGTGGATAATCCATTGAAAAATATGGCTGAAACTGTCAAAATATCGAATATCGGGAGTTACCGTTATAAGGGGGATATACGATATCGAGGACCTATATAGATTCTCTTCTAGGGGGTAAAGTATTCCCAAGGAAATTTTCAGACAATTCCGTTGAAAAATGTGGCTAAAATTATCAAAATACCAAATAGTGGGAGTTACTGTTATAAGGGGGATACACGATATCGAGGACCTATATAGATAATTCTCTTCCAGGGAATAAAATACTCACAAGGAACTCCTAGTGTCGAATTTCAGACAATTCCGTTGAAAAAAATTGGCTAGAATCATCAAAATACCGAATATCGGGAGTTACCGTTATAAGGGGGATATAGTATATAGAGGACCTATATAGATAATTCTCTACCAGCGGATAAAGTACTCAGAAGAAACTCCTTCTGTGGATTTTTAGACAATTCCATTGAAAAATGTACCTAAAATCATAAAAATATCGAATATTGGGGGGTGCTATTATATGAGGGCTGCTACACCATATCGAGGACCGATATAGCCCATCTTCGAACTTGACCTGCCTGCATACAAAACACAGATCTGTGCAAAATTAGGTTCCTATTTTAATTCGTTTTGACTCTAGCAGCACGATTACAACATACGAACGGACGGACAGGTTAAAGCGTCTTAGAATTTTACGCCGATCAAGAATATATATACTCTGTTGGGTCTAAAATTATTATTTTGATGAGTTACAAACGGAATGACGAACTTAATATACCCTACACACTATATATGGTGGAGGGTATAAAAATTGTATGAGGGAATACATGAAAATTATGAGACCAATGAAATAAACACGCCTTCATAGCATCAAGGTAGTTTAAAAATAAACTTGAAGTTGATGAAGCCATTCGACTGTTAATAACATTTAAAAAAGATACCTCTGTTATTCGAGCCAATCCATTTCCAATTCAACCCCTTATCTGCATATGTATCCCAAAAACAGCGGAAAAATGTTAGCTTTCCACACCTTCTGTAATGTTCCTGTTTTGTACCTATCAAGCTGGAATTGTATGAGGGAATACATGAAAATTATGAGACCAATGAAATAAACACGCCTTCATAGCATCAAGGTAGTTTAAAAATAAACTTGAAGTTGATGAAGCCATTCGACTGTTAATAACATTTAAAAAAGATACCTCTGTTTTTCGAGCCAATCCATTTCCAATTCAACCCCTTATCTGCATATGTATCCCAAAAACAGCGGAAAAATGTTAGCTTTCCACACCTTCTGTAATGTTCCTGTTTTGTACCTATCAAGCTGGATTTAAACTGGATTTAAGCTGGATTTAGGTTAAACTCAAATAACTAAAACAAGAGCTCTAAAAAACTTAACGAAAATACTAAATGTGGAATTCATTACAAAACTTTTTGTTTTTTTAGATTGATTATAATTGCGGATTTTATGCATAATTTTGAGCTTACAATTGCTTTCTAATATATAAGTGTATGGATTTCTTTATATTCCTTGATAAAGGCACAAGTTGAAAAAAATAGTTTTGTAAATACATAATTTTTTTCCACATCAATACGTACACATTTTTATTTTTGTGTGCAGACAAAAACTATTTATATTTTACTTTAGATAAAATATAACGTTTTGGATGGGGATTTTGCTGGAACAAAATCCATAAATTTATACAAAATTAAAAAAAACAAATTAAAAAAAAGTAATCATTTTTAAAATTAATATAATTTTTGGCTTTGTTGGTGCTAAGCAAAATAAGTAAAACCCAGTAAAAAAGTACCCTACACCCCTTTGCATATATAGTAAAGCTTCACATAACCAAAATGTTTTTATGGGGAATGTGTGAGAATTAAATCATACCAACTATTATTACAGTTATAATTTAAAGTCCAAAGTAACTAATATATGAGAGGAATATTCTCCTCTGAATCGATTTCTACTAAATTTGACGAAACATCTGTGCCTCTTCATTAAGAATATATATAGGAGCTATAGCGATATCTGAACCGATTTTCACTAAATTTTACATACCATTTGGGCAAATATTACACGTTTGGCGCACAATAAAAGGCAAATCGGACGAAGATATATATGGGAGCTATATTCAAATCTGAACCGATCTCGATGAATTTTAGCACAGGTATTTCTGAGCTATATTTGATATATTATTCCAAATATCGTTGTTACAGAGTGCATATTGCGGCTGCGGAGAACAAAAATAACAAATCGGATGAACAATATATATGGGGGCTATAGCTATATCTTAACCGATTTCGAGCGCTTTTGGAAAGTGGTTTTCTCCGATGAGAAAACATTCGTTGTCCAACCGTTTGTAAACAAACAAAATGATCGTGTTTACTTGCCAAAGAAGTCAGCTGAAAATGTACACCTTCGGTATGCCACCAGAACTCAAGCCTCAAGCCGGCCATGGTGATGGTGTGGGCAACCATAACAGCCGAAGGTCGCTCTCCGCTCATATTAATCGACCTTGGACATTCCAACAGAACGCAGCACCATCGCACTCTGCACGTGCCACCCAAGAATGGTGAGGTTCCTCGCTTGATTTCCAGCGCAAAATTTCCACCAAAATCTCCGAATACCAATCCGTTGGACTATTGTGTCTGGAGTATTTTGGAAAGCAAGGTTGGCACTAAAAAATAGCAAAGTGTCGATCACCTCAAACAAGCGCTTCGCCGGGAATGGGACAAAATACCGCAGCGCAACATTCGGGTAGCTTGTGGCCATTTGAAGGCCATAATTCGTGCCAAAGGTGACCAATTCAAACAAATCTAAACTTATTTTAAAATTTAATGCTATTTCCGGAACGATATCAGATTATCCGTTCTCTTCCTATGTGTTAAATTAATTTCTATGAAAATGTTGACATTTTGTGGGGGAGGTACCAGAAGAAGTGGACCGATATTGCCCATCTCCAAACTCCATTTACGTTTGACAATAATGTTACGATATACCAAGTTTATCTTGCGCTTGAGCCAGACAGACATACGGACGGACAGACATCGCAACTCCAAATGTCCTTAAACGTATTTGGTCCAAATAGACCTAGGTTCTAAAAACGTTATTTCGACTAGGCACGTTTTGGCCGTATTTAGCCATATGGCTGAGGGTATGAATACTACAAGACATCACAAATCTCAATTTCAGTTGATTTGAAATTGAGTTAGGATTTGATTTGGCAATCACCTAACAATTAACCCACATTTGATATACCGCATCTATTGAGAATTTAAATGAGACAGTTTTTGAGTACCATTATACGTGTGTTACCTCAATGTCTCGTTTAATTCCGTTCCAATTCATTTAATATGTCTTTACATTGTGATAAAAAAAAATACAAAATGAATAAAGATGAAATGCACAATCTACAATAGAGGCCCTAAATTATGACATCACTGAACGTTATACCCCCACCCAATAAGGGAAGGTGCTACAACACTGCATACATTTGCAAACGAGAAAAACACAAAAGCCTAGGCAACCTTACATGACCCCCTCGAACTGCTTAACACACTACATCTGGGCAAAAGAAAATCTTCAAAGAAAATTAAACCAAAGAACAAAAATGCAGAAAAAAGAAAATAAAATATATTTGCCCTTTTGTTCAACTTATTTGCTAAATAGTAGGTCAGATAATCTGTATGAGCTTTTTGGACTGTTAACAATTTTGCCGGCAATTCTTTGTGTTGTGGTGTTGCAAAAAAGCATTAGCACTTTGCCATAATTTATGCTGGCGGCCCTTTTGAAGTGTTTGCCTTAAAACAATAAGCATTATTGTGATAATAAAAGAAAGGAAGTACACCAGAAAGCAAAAGCATAAGTAAAGAAAAGAAAAACTGAAATACATCAAAGCAGAACTCAAACCTGATGCCCAAACCAAAGACAACACAAAATAAAAAGAAATAAAAACAGAGCTCTTTGTATTTTTTTGTTTCAACATTCATTGTCATCAAAATGACTGGACATTGCATTTAAAATGTATTTTTTTTGTTTATTCAAATGTTATTGTTGCTATAGTATTATTGTTGTGTTTTTCACTTAATTAAGAATTTCAAGTTTAGTGTTTGTTTTTTTTTACTTTAATTACTCACATCATCATTATCTTTATAATATTATTAAATAATAATTAAAGTTGTCACTTTTATTACTGTGTGTGTGTGTGTGTGTGTGTGAATTACAAAATTATGATTTCTATGCATTTTTGTTTATTCTCAATTGTTTTTTTATTTAAAATTTCCTTGTTTAATAAATAATTTAAATAATGTAGGTTGGAGGTTTTTGTTTTTTTTTTGTAAAAAAAAGGAAAGAATAAGAACATCATAATCACCATAGTTTAAGAGTTTTTTATATAATTTTTTGCTTTGCTTAGAGCATTTTTGCTAATTAAAATAATTGTGAATCAATTTGAAAAAAAGCACAGTGGTTGTGAAAATGAAAAGGATTGGGAAATGCTTATAAGGGATTTAAGTGGCTAAGGAGTTGAAAATGTATAACGAACACCATAAATTTATGTAAAATTTACAACGCGTGAAAATTGAACAAAATTGAAATGCTCGTTTGAAAAAAGATTACCCCCCAAAAGTGGGGAATCTTATTCATCATATATAGACATGCAAAGAATCGGTCGGCAGTTTTCCTATTCTGCTTTCATCAGATTTGTAAAAAATCTGCCTTTAATTTTCATTTTTTTTATAGTTTTTTTTTTTTTTTTTTTCAAGTTTTACAATTGTTTTTTTCTTTCTTTCTTTTTTTTTCTTTGTTTTGTATTTCCATAATCAGTTGCTTTGAAACTACTACTTTTTTTTTGTTTTAGGAAAAAAAATAATAAAAATTAAGTGGAAATTATAAAAAAGAAAATCTCAAAGGAAAAATATATAGTAATTATAATTATAATATATAATAATATTAATAATAGTTGTAAAAATTACAATTTAAATCATTTTACGAACTAACAGCACTTGCTTGAGGCATTTGTGTGGGATTAGCGCCGGCACCACCACCACGAATGGCAATTGCACCCTGACCAGCACGAATGGGTTTAGCAATTTGCGCCTGGGGACCGCGTCGGCCCAAGTGTTTCTGTCGCACGGCTTCCTTGATGCGATCGACTTCGTATTGATAGCGTTTGCGGTCACGCATAGCACCTTCTTTGGCTTCTTTTAGCGCTGTCTCCAAGGCCTTGACACGCTCCATGGTGGTGCGCAAACGTTTCTCCAATTTGGGCAATTCACAGCGTAGATCGGCATTGTCACGCACCAATTGTTTGTGCACTTTGGTGAGTTGGTCCAAATTGTTTTCGAGGAAGGAGATTTTCTGTTTTTGGGCCAATGAGCCGCCGTCCTCTTCGCTATCTTCATTCAGAACGGTCTTCTTAATGCGGGACTAAGGAAAAACAAACAATAGTGAGTAAAAAATAAAACAAATTGCATTTGATTTTGTTGGTCTCACCTGGAGATCTTGCACAAACAATTTCCTCAAATTGTGCAATGTCTGCAATTCCTTGGCCACGGTGTCTTCCAAACCCTTGAGATCTTTGCGAGCCTGTTCACGTCTCTCGTTGATGAGTATGATTTCTTGCAATTTATTTGATTTTTCAGCCTCTTCTTGTTTCACCTTCTCGTAATCGGCAGCCATTTGTTGGTGTGCCAAAATCAGCTTCTGGTGCAGATCCTTCATCTCCTCCATTTCATGTTGCTTGGCAATGATTTCATCACGCAACTCGGACACTTGTTTGGTGTGGGCTTCACGCAGCTCATCCATTTGTGAATCGAACATGGATCGCAATTCTTCGGCCTTTTGTTTCTCCTCCGCATTAACGGCCGACACATGTTCGGCGGCCTTAAGTTTGGCGCATTCTTCGCGCAACGAATCGATTTGTTCCTCCAAGGAACGTTTCTTATTTTCGGCTTCACGCATGGATTCTTGCAGGGACTTCATGCGAGCCTCATGCTGGGAAATAAGTAAACGATATTCACCCAAATCTCGTTCGTATTCGGAGAGCTTCTTGTTGGAGTCGGTTTGTTGCGTCTCCAAGTTGGTGCAACGTTGAGCCATGTTCTTGGCTTCGGTTTTCATTTTGCTAATGTACAAACGTGCCATGGTGAAATCTTCCTCCACCTTGCCACTATCACCAGCACTGGGTATGCTGTTCATTTTCATGTCAATTGTGGAGTCGGCCGATGACAGAGCTTGGCCCACCTCAGCCAAATCCCTCAGTAGATTCGACAACATTTCATTGATGCGTTTCTTTTGATGCGAGGACATGTCACGCAACTGTTGCAGCTCTGTGGTGGTTGTATTAAGCAGAGCCTGCTTTTGTTGCAACTCCTCGTTAAGGTTGTCCATGTCCTTGTTCTTGGTGTCGATTTCTTGAGATTTTTGGTCATAGTTAACAGCCAACTCTTCCAAGGCTTGCAAGACTTCTTTCACCTCTTCCTTGGCCGATTCATTCTCCTGTTGAATGCGAGCCATCTCGGACTGCAAGGCCTCATATTCACGACGAGCATTGGCAATGAGCTCTTCTTGTTCCACAATTTGTTCTTTGAGATTTTCAACATATTGACTATGTTGATTGATCTCTTCATCCTTTTCGTCCAATTGTTGGTACAAACGTTCACGTTCCGCCTCCAAACGGGCACGTTCATCACTGCTGATGGAGCCCAACATGAGACCGGCAGCTGGTGTTGCTGGCATGGGTGCAGCTGCATTGGTTGCGGCAGCAGTTTCCACCTCCAAGTTGGGTGTGCTAGCCTCCATAAGCTCATCCACATTGATTTGTTCGTCGGCATTGACCGTCTCACCAGCACGCCAGCGAGCCAATTCGAGTTCCAATTTCTCCACTTTGCCCTTGAGACGGGCATTCTTTTCCTTCTCCTTTTCGTAGCGACGTTTCCATTCCTCGGCGGTCAACTCCTCATTGACACAGACCACATTCTTGACGGTCTTGGCGCGACGACCAAAATCGAGTGTAGACTTGGTTTCAGACTCGTTAAAACTGGCAGGTGAACAACAAATGACAATGGTTGTGCGTGCATTACCACCCAAAGACTCTTGAAGGATACGCGTCAGCTTGGAGTCACGATAGGGTATGTGCGTTTTATTGCCATCGGCCAGGGCGGAGATGACATTACCCAGGGCCGACAGGGATTTGTTAATGTTCTTGGCCTCGTCGAGCACAGTACCTTCGGCACCGGTTTTCGATACCTTCTCAGAACCGGCCAAATCGACCAGGTACAATTTACCCGATAATTTCTTTTGATTTTCCAAATTCTCCTGTTTGACATTGATCAAAAATACTGAGTGTGAACGTGATGAATGCTCGTTCATGTCTGGCGAGAGAGAGAGAGAGGGGGAAAGAGAAAAGTTTTACATTAAAACGACTGGGAAAGAAATTATCATGGCAAACTTACTTGTAACGGCAATATGACGATTTGATTTGCCCTCTTCGATAACTTCGAACACATCTTCAGGGGAGGAAACAAACCGCTCCGTAGCACCCTTAACATACGGCACACGATTCTTGTCTTCGTGTACGCTCAAGTTTATTTTCGAAACATCGAGCAAATCACGAATCTTATCCATGTAGATTTCATAGTACGACACCTTAATGTGGAATTCCAAATTCATTTCCATCGTATAGATGTGATTGAAAATATCGTTGACAATACGTGGAATGATACCCTGTTTGTTGGGATCACCGATGACACCCTCCATGGTATGTGTTTTACCCGAAGATGTTTGACCATAGGCAAAGATGGTACCGTTGTAACCGGCCAAGACATCCGTAACAATGGATTTAGCTGCTTCATTGTAGACTTTTTCTTGGGTTGCATTTGGTTTGAATACTTTGTCGAATAGATAGACTTTACCCTGGAAATGGAAGAGGAAAAGGGGAAATTAATTTTTTGAAACAAAAAAGTAGATTTGAAAAAAATAAAAAATAAAAAAAAATAAGCGAAACGAAGGCAATTAAGGCTTTGTTGTACCTACTGAATGTATTTCAGAGGATAATGTTGGAAAGCATCATCACATTAAATCTCATTAAACAATCTTGGGTTTAAAACACCATTCTTCTAGCATCAGACCCTCATTGTACTCGTTTTTTTTTTTTTTTCTAACCTTAAAACAGTCCTCTTTCTGTTCCAATAAGCCATGCAACAAATTGAATAGAATTTATTCTACAAGGCCATTACCAGAGTACCTGCTACCCACTATAGTATTTTCCTCTTTTACTTTACATATCATTCTCTATTTGTCTTGTACTCCTAAACACTAACTGACGGAATGAAAATGATTAAATAAACATAATGCTATAATGTTAAAGTACTTCACCTTTCCTTTACTTCACTCCACCCATTTAATCATAATGGATGACATCCACTCCATGTGAGTCACTTGAAGCCACTTCATATGTTGCAAATTTCATTGGCTTCAGTTGCAGTCCGCCGCTTGTTTGCTTCAACACTTGTGTTTGAACATGACATTCAAAAGGGGTGTCACAAGTGGGGTGATATAATTTTAAAAAAATAAATGGAATTTTGACAAATTTTATTTTTTTAGAAAAAATAGGAGATTCCTAGTCAAAATGGAGTGTGGAGTTTTTCATCGATGGTAAGACATATATAGGACTATTTTAGATATGTGGGGAGTAAAATATCTTAATTACATATACAAGCTGCATATATTCGTTAAGTGGATGTTGTGGAGTGGAGGTACATTCCAACCTCCTGATTTTTTGTTTTTTAAAGGGTTTTGGCCCAAATTTCCATCAAATCAACTGTAATGTGAACCTGTTTTTGTGGGTAATTTAAATCCTCTCAAAAATTGCCAACATAGGTGTAAATTCCTAAGATTTCAAAGATTGGAAAATAACCAAGAGAATGTTTCTAGATAGCTTCCGCCATTTGCGGAAGAATATATTGTTTTTATACCCTCAGCCATATGGCAAGAGAGGTTATATATCATTTGATACGGCCAAAACGTGCCTCATCAAAATAACTATTTTAGAACCCAGGTCTCTATGGACCAAATACGTTTAAGAACATTTAGAGTCGATCTAGTGATGTCCGTCCGTCCGTCTGTCTGGTGCGCACGATAGCTCTCGAAGGGACTATCCGATTTGGTCCAAACCTGGTATATCGTAATATTTTTATCAAACTTAGATCGAGTTGGGAGATGGGCAATATCCTGCTGGTATCTACTCCACAAAAGGTCGACAATTTAAAGAAAAGTATTTTACTGCACAGAAAAGGTAATGATAATCCGATTTTGCTCCAACTTTGCAAATCCTAATATTTGCATCAATTCTAAGCCAGGTGCGCTCTAACAAGTACCTCCCCCACAAGGGTCAAAATTTTAATTATCCATGAAGCTCGTAAAACGAGGAATTAGCATTTGATTCCTTTCAAACTCGGTACATCCCAATATTTCCATCAACACAAGATATGTTATAAAGATGGTAGAGATTAGGCCAATCCTTCTGGTACCTTCCCCACAATAGGTCAATGTTTTGAATAACCAAAACGAATATAAAATTCGAAATAAGCTGCGGGTTCCCTTAAAATTACACACATCACAATATTTTCATTAATCCAAGGTCTGGTGTGAAGATAGAATATATCGGTCCACTCCTTCTGGTACCTCCCCCACAAAGGTTCAAAATTTTGAATATCCATGAAACTGACAAAATGCGAAATTAACATCCGATTTCATTCAGACTTGGCGCATCTCAATATTTCTATGAACACAAGATCTGTTATAAAGATGGTAGAGATCGGATCATTCTTTCTGGTGCCTCCCCCACAAAGTGTCAAAGTTTTAAATAACCAAAAACGATTATAAAATCCGAAATAAGGAGCCGGTTCTCTTAATATTCTCCACATCCCATTACTTCTACTAATACAAGATATTATGTGAAGATTGAATATATCCACCTATTCCTTCTGGTACCTCCCCCACGAAGGGTCAAAATTTCTGTCTGTAAAACCGATTGATACTTTTTAACTTTTTTAATTTATTTTCCCTTCAAAGCAGCTGGAATTTGATTTTCAGGCTTTCAATGGATGGGGGGGTTAAATTTTTTAAAAAAAATTATTAAATATGATTTTAGCCCACATGTAATGGAGTTTCCACATTTTTGGATTTTTGGTGATAGCCAATTTGGTCAAAAGTCTAGTTTTTAAAGGTGGAGAGTATAAAATGTAAGGCCTGACAGAATTGTGTATCGTTTTAGCTTGTTTTTGTAGATCTTTAAAGAGATCGACTGGCATTTTCATTCTTAAAAACTATAAATTAATAGTATATTGCAATAAACCTGACTTGGCCCATGTTGTCTTTTCCCCCAAATCTATTTAAAAATCCCCATAAACCATCATTTTATATTCCATCAATATATTTCACAACAACTTTTTCGCACATAGATTACATTTCCATTTGAAGCATTTTCACAATAATTTGTTGCAGCAATGTTGTTATGTACTTTTTGCATATCTACTTCAGCATCCTCATGCATCCCGTCCATCATCACAGTGGGTGTGAAACGAACCGCCAAAAAAAAACTGACCCAGACCTAGCTGGATACATACAATCCTAGTTGTTATTTGACCCAGTTATACAAACATATATATATACCTATACATATGTATGTGTATATATATACATCGTTACTGGTTTCGAGAGTAAATAAAGAAAAAAAATGTTATTGAATTTCACAAGGATTCAAATACGCATTCGTATGTATTTGTGTTGGACATATTAAAAGTGATACCTAAAGCACATCCAATGACTCATTGTGGGGAGTATTGAATTATTGTTACACATATACAGATTTTACATATATACAAACAAGGAACATTTTAATGCCACTACACAAACCACCCACATAAGAAAAGTCTTTGTGTGTATGACGAAATAACGATCAGGATACAATGGCACTTATTGAGAAGAATATATTTTGAAGATGTATAAAAACGATAGAAAGAATTATATTAAAAATCGATTTGTATTTTAACATGTAGAATGACTATGTTAAAATTTATAAGATTTTTTATTGACCTTAAGCTTTTGCGTAATTATACATATATTAAAAAAACTGGCTCCAAGGATAAAAAATTGAAGAATTTGAAAAAGCAACCAAAAGATAATGAACACACGTGGTTTTATAAAGCAATATGCCGATAAGAAGACTTTTTACACCTTTGTTGACAATTGTTATGTTTACTAGAGGGTAAGGCCAGAAATACCATGGTTTGGGAAAACGCCACCAATCTTCATCGGATCACTTGGATTTGTCTGGGTATATTCTCTTCTGATACAACAGTAATATTTATTCCAACGAATCAATCCACTATAACATAAAAAATTGAAAATGACTAAATTTTCAAATTCTATTCTATCACGGAGTTAGCAATTTATAAAAAATTAAATAATTGATAACAAATACCGGAAATTGCGGAAGGAGTGATATGATAAACTTGTTCATCCTGAAATGTAAATTAGCCAAAGTAAATATTTAAGCAACTAATGGCTATGATACTTAATGGATCTGTGTAAATTTTTTAGTCGTCGGAAACGCTAGCGGGAAACATCTCATTGTATTTCCTTGGGGTCTTCGTCAAAATAAGACACGAAAAATAAAAAAAGTTCTAAATAATTGGGGAAAATGATTTTTCGACTCAACATTAAAACGTCTATATATTCACATCTTCTCCATGCTATTTAAGCGGAGGGCCTTTACTAAAAAGTAGATCTACACCGGCCTGTCTATTTATGGTGATTCCAAATTTATTATGATTTTCAGGACATTTGGAGTCGAACTAGTCCGTCTAGAACAATCCGTCTGTCTCTTTCAGGACATATGGACTCGATCTAGTCGGTCTAGTTCCATCCGTCCGTCTGTCTGGCTGGCGGGTAGGCACGATAACTTTGGAAGGGAGCATCCTATTTGGTCCAAACTTGGAACATCGTAATATTATTATCAAACTTAGATCGAGTTCGGAGATGGGCAATATCGGTTCACTTCTTCTGGTATCTCCCCCACAATAGGTCGAAATTTAAAACAAAAAATATTTTACTGCACAGAAAGAGAAAGGATTGCCCGAATTTGCTCCAACATTGCAAATCCTAGTATTTTCATCAGTACTAGGTTAGGTGCGAAAATGAACAATATCGGTCCACTCCTGCAAATACCTCCGCCACAAAGGGTCAACGTTTTGAATAATTTTTATTCTTATAAAATGTGATGCAAGAGTCCGATTGTCTTCAAATTACACAAATCACAATATTTTTATTAACCCAAGATCTAGTGTGAAGATGGAATATATCGGTCCACTTCTTCTAGTACCTCACCCACAAAAAGGTCCACATTTTGAATATCCATGAAGCTCAAAAAAGCGAAATAACATCCAATTCCATCCAGACTTTGTACATTTCAATATTTTCATCAACACAAGATCTTTTTTAAAGATGGTAGAGCTCGGACCATTCCTTCTGGTACTTCACCCACAAAGGGTCAAAGTTTTGAATAACCAAAAACGATTATACAATCCGAAATAAGCAGCCGGTTCTCTTCATATGTCACACATTCCATTATTTTTGCTAACACAAGATCTGCTGTGAAGAAGGGTTATCGGTCCACACCTTCTTGTACCTCCCCCACAATGGGTCAACATTTTGAATATCCATGAAGCTCATACAACGCAAAATTAGCATTCGATTCCATTCAAACTTTGTACAACTCAATATTTCCATCAAGGCAAGATCTGTTATAAAGATGGTAGAGCTCCGACCATTTCTTTTGGTACCTCCGCCACGTATAGTGCAAGATTTTGAAAAACGAAACGCTCAAAGAAAGCAAAATAAGCATCCAAATC